CCCTGGGTGGTTGGGGCTGAGTCTCGGGGGTTGGGGGGGTGTCTTGCCGAGGGGGTCTCCTGGAAAGGGGTCTCCCTGGATGGTTGGGGATGAGTCTCGGGGTGGGGGTGAGTCTTGGGGAGGGTGGGTCTCCAAAAGCGGGGTCCCCCGGGTGGGTGGAGTCTTGGCGAGGGGGGTCTCCGGGAACGAGGTCCCCTGGATGGGGGTGAGTCTTCGGAAGGGGGTGTCTGGGAGGCGGGTCCCTGGGTTGGCGGAGACTTGGAGGATGGGGTCTTGGGGTGGGGTGGGGGGTCTCAGGGAGCAGGGGATCTCAGTTGGGGAACACAGCCTGACTGCCGCCTCCTCCTCTTTCCCCCCCCCAGGCCAACAGAAGGAGCCGCCATCCGCCCCCCCTGGCCAGAGAGCGAGCGACGAGCCACCAGATGTGTGTGGAAATAAAGGACGTTTCTGGTTTTTTTTGACTCTTTGGCCTCCGGTGGGTTTTTTTTCCTCCATACTTTAAAAGGAGGGGCTCTTCCCCTCCCTCCCTAGGCCAAGAGACCCTCCATTGTGGCTGTGGGGATCCTGGGAGGGGGAAATTCCTCTCTCACCCCCCACCTTTTGGTGGGAAAAACTGCTCTGAAGAAGGAGAAGTAGTAATGGAATTAACGGAGGGACTCCAGAGGTCGTCTAGTCTGACCCCCTTCTCGGGCAGGAGACCCTAGGCCATTCTAGACAAATAAGAGTTGGAAGGGACCCTGGAGGTCATTTAGTCCAGCCCCCTGCTCAAGCAGGAGACCCTATGTCATTTCAGATAGGTGGGTGTCCAGTCTCTTCTTCCAGTAATGAAGCATCCACACCGTCTGACGGCAACTTCCCTTCCACTGGTCAATTGTCCTCACTGTTAGGAAATTCCTCCTTCATTCCAGGTTGCTTCTCTCCTTCAGTTTCTGCCATCTCTTTTTTTTAAAGAACCATCCCTCAACACACATCAAAAGCAAAGAAAAAACCTGTTTCTTTGTCACCCCAAAGAAAACAGTCAATCATCTTCAAATGATGGGATGTCAGAATCGGAATACAGCTGCAAGGGACCTCGGAGGTCTTCTAGTCCAGCCCCTTCCTCTAGCAGGAGACTCTATACCGTTTCAGACAGGTGGCTGTCCAGTTTCTTCTTAAACGCTTCCGGGGTTGCAGCACCCACAGCTTCTGGAGGGAAGCTGATGGTTCTCATTGCCCGGAAATTCCTATTTAGTTCTAGGGGAAGAGAGTCTGAATCTTGCCCTCCAGGGAGGCCGGGGGTGGAGTGAGCTGGAAGGGGGCAGAGAACGGTCTCCCTCCAAGGATGGGAGCGTGTCCAGCCGGTCCAAAGGGGAAATGGAGAGGGGGCTGCCATCGCTGGGTGTGGCAGGGCAGGTGGCCTTTCGGGGCTCTGATTGGAGCAGGGACTGGAAGTTTGTGACCTGGCCTCAGGTGGATTTTTCTCCCTGCTTGAACAGCAGCGCTTTCCCTGGCTCCCTCTCTACCCCAGCGGGCCTCAGTCATGGTGGCTGGCTGGAGGATTCTGGGAACTGGAGTCCAGATGCGCTTCTGCAGGAAAGGCTGCTTTGGAAGATGGGGGGGGGGAGCATTCAGGGGACACCCAAGTCCCATCCTCCACAGAGAGGCAGGGTTTGAATTGAGCTGGAGAGGCTGGAAGGAGGCTGAGAAAGGCTTCCAAGAGTGGGGAGTGGGTCCTGGCTGTCCAAAGGGGAAATGGGGGGGGGTCCCTTCACTGGATGTGCTGCTGGCAGGTCAAAAGCCCATCCTGGGCTCCTGATTGGAGCAGGGATGGGAGGACACTCGGCATGAGGGGAGGGTAGTAAACGTTGCTTCTGGGGTCTTCCCAGCTGGGGGCTGCTCGTTCTTCCCCGCCCGGCCCTCTCTCTCTGGGTCTGCAATGCTGGGCTGGGTCTCCCGTGGAGTTTGCAGCCTTACGGAAGGGATGGGCTGTTTTGGGAGGAGCATCATGGGAAAATCTGATGCTAAAGTGTTTTAAGAACTCCCTCCCTCCCTCCCTAAAGGGGTTGGTGGGTTCTTCCTCTCTACCTCCCAAGGATGGCTTAAGCGGCCCAGGTTTTAGACTGGATCAGGGATAGGCAACCTTGGCTCTTTTAGGACTCGTGGACTTCAATACCCAGAATTCCTGAAGCGGCCATGCTGACTCAGGAATTCTGGGAGTTGAAGTCCACAAGTCCTAAAAGAGCCAAGGTTCCCCACCCCTGGACTAGATCATCATCTCTGGAGCTGTTTCCAAACTGGATCTCCCTCCTGAGGGATGGCTTCAAGACGGTGGAGCCCCTCCCCAAAAGAGGGGAGGCCAAAGGAGAGACTGGATAGCCATTGGTCTGAAATGGTATATAGGGTTTCCTGCCTGAGCAGGGGGTTGGATTAGATCAGGGGTCTGCAACCTTGACAACTTTAAGACTTGTGGACTTCAGCTCCCAGAAGCTGGCTGAGGAAGACTTGTGGACTTCAGCTTTAAGACTTGTGGACTTCAGCTTTAAGACTTGTGGACTTCAGCTCCCAGCAAAGCAGCTGAGGAATTCTGGGAGCTGAAGTCCACAAGTCTTAAAGTTGTCAAGGTTGCAGACTCCTGGACTGGATGACCTCCAAGGTCCCTTCCAATATTATTATTTACTAGCTGTACCTGGCCACGCATTGCTGTGGCTCAGTCTGGTTAAATGGAAAAGAAAGAAAAGAAAGCTTTTACGTCCAACAGATGGCGCTGTTTTTAAAAAAAACCCATGTTTTTACCTGTCACAGGTGTGACATCTATATAATAGGTATATAAAAATGCGCGTACGTGTCAAAATTTCAAAGAAATCGGTGAAGAACTTTCAGAGATTTAAGATTTTGAACAAACGAATATTTACATTTTTATTTATAGAGATAGAAGAGATAGATAGATAGATAGATAGATAGATAGATAGATAGATAGATAGATAGATAGATAGATAGATAGATAGATAGCGATAGATAGACAGACTAGCTGTACCCGGCCACGCGGTGCGGTGGCTCAGTCTGCTTAAATTGAAAAGAAAGAAAATCGTAGCGTGTGTTGCTTTTACGTCCAACAGATGGCGCTGTTTTTCAAAAAACCATGTTTTTACCTGTCACAGGTGTGACATCTATATAATAGTAGGTATATAAAAACACGGGCGTATTCGAATGCAACCTTGTGTCGAAATTTCAAAGCAATCGGTGAAGAACTTTCGGAGATTTAAGATTTTGAACAAACGAACATTTACATTTTTATTTCTATAGATTATTAACGGAGCCAGCAAATGGGGCCGTTTCCTGACTGCTTGAGTCCTCGCTGCAACTGGGCTTCTCCCCTTAGGTCTTCCTTGGAGAGGCTTTCCATGCCCAGCGCACAAGGGCGCTTCATCCGGGTTCTCCCTTTTGATAGCCGTGGCGTTTTCCTGTCAAGGGGCCTTGTCTGAGACATTTCAGACTAGGTTAGTCTGAAGCGACCAGAGGATCATTGGGTGGTGCCTTTTCTCAGTCACGTTTTATTGAGGGGTCCTTGGTGCTTGTTTTCTTGCAGATGTTTCATGACTCAAACTATGTAACATAATGCAATAGAGCTGGAAGGGACCTTGGAGGTCTTCTAGTCCAGCCCCCAACTCAAGCAGAAGAACCTATACCATCTCAGACAAGTGACTGTCCAGTTTTTTCTTAAAAATCTCCAGGGATGGAGCACCCACGATTTCTGGGGGCAAGCTGTTCCACTGGTTAATTGTCCCTCACTGTATAGGAAGTTTCTCCTTAATTCCAGGTTGTTTCTCTCTTTGGTCAGCTTCCAACCGTTGTTTCTTGTCCTGCCCTCTGGTGCTTTGGAGAATAATTTGACGCCCTCTTCCATAGCTAGCAGGCGAAGGGAGGAAGAAGAAGGGAGCAGCGTTCCGATACTTGAGGGGCTGCCCCAAAGAAGAGGGTTTGTGTATGTGTGTTGAGCTATTCTCCAAAATGCCTGAAGGCAGGACAAGAAGCAACAGGTGGAAACTAATCAAAGAGAGAAGCAACCTGGAACTAAGGAGAAATTTCCTGACAGTGACAACTATTAACCAGTGGAACAGCTTGCCACCAGAAATCGTGGGTGCTTCATCACTGGAAGTTTTGAAGAAGAGACTGGACAGCCATTGAAGAGAAAGACGAGGGGTGACATGATAGCAGCCTTCCAATATCTCAGGGGCTGCCCCAAAGAAGAGGGAGTCAAGCTATTCTCCAAAGCACCTGAAGGCAGGACAAGAAGCAACAGATGGAAACTAATCAAGGAGAGAAGCAACCTAGAACTAAGGAGAAACTTCCTGACAGAACAATTAACCAGTGGAACTCCTTGCCTCCAGAAGTGGTGAATGCTCCAACACTGGAAGTTTTTAAGAAGAGACTGGACAGCCATTTGTTCGAAATGGTATAGGGTTTCCTGCCTGAGCAGGGGGTTGGACTAGATGACCTCCAAGGTCCCTTCCAACTTTATTACTACTACTACTACTATTATTATTATTATTATTATTATTATTATTATTATTATTATTTATTATTATTATTATTATTATTATTATTATTGCATTTAGCACTGATGATGTTACCTAGTTTGCGTCATGAAACATCTGCAAGAAAACAAGCCAGCTCAGAGAGCACCAAGGACCCCCCCCTTTCAACCCTCAGCTACAAACATTCTCCTTTATTAATAACATTTTATTAAAAGGCACCAACTCACAAACATTTCTAGCCTTTCACGACATTCATTTGTTGGCTGGAAAGGGTGTTACTAGCGTGCTCCTAATTTTTGGCACGTTCAGTAGTGTTGCCTTCTCTCTCCAACCTATCATTCTCCAGAAATGCTGGATTTCAGCCTCGGGAGCTGTCAACACATGTGAAGGACACCAGTCTGGGAAGGAAGGGGCCCACTGTTTGTAGCAGTGTCACCTCCTTGTATGACATCAAAGCTTCACAAAGCTTCTTGATCAGTGGATCTGTCTTTATTGGAAAAGCTGAAGGGGGGGGGGGGGCGAGGACACATCTAGCTGGTACCCTTTGGGGGGAGGTATAGGGTGAATCTGACCTGTAGGAGGGTCTCCATTTAAAATGGCAGGATGATATGGATACCGGTTTGTAATGGCTACTTTGTCATTACTACTTTAGAAAATTAGCTCAGTGGAATATAGGAAGTATAATCAGAATAAAGCTGGAAGGGACCTTGGAGGTCTTCCAGTCCAGCCCCTTGCTCAAGCAGGAAACCCTATACCATTTCAGACAAATGGCTGTCCAGTCTCCTCTTAAAAACCTCCAATGATGGAACACCCACAATGTCTGAAGGCAACTTCTGTTCCACTGATTAGTTGTCTTCACTGTCAGGAAGTTTCTCCTTAATTCCAGGTTGCTTCTCTCCTTGATTAGTTTCCATCCGTTGTTTCTTGTCCTGCCTTCAGGTGCTTTGGAAAATAAATTGACCCCCCTCTTCTTTGTGGCAGCCCCTCAAATATTGGAAGACTGCTATCATGTCTTCCTTAGTCCTTTTTTTCTCTAAACTGGCCATTCCCAAATCCTGCAGCCATTCTTCATATGTTTTATCTCCAGGCCTTGGATCCTCTTAGTTGCTCTTCTTTCGACTTATGGCTGTAATGGAGCCCTTAGGATCGTAAGTAATAATAATAACGTTGGAAGGGATCTTGGAGGCCATCTAGTCCAACCCCCTGCTCAGGCAGGAAACCCTATACCATTTCAGACAAATGGCTGTCCAGTCTCTTCTTAAAAACTCCCAGTGTTGGAGCATTCACCGCTTCTGTAACCAGTGGAACAACCTGCCTCCAGAAGTTGTGATGTTCATAAAATGAGTCCACTATCTGACCTAATTTTACGAATATTTTGTGGCGGTCATTAAGCAAATCTCAGTTAAATGACTGCGTGCAGTTAAGCGTAATGGTTAGTAATGCCCTTGTTTGCTATGGGGCATTTTTTTTGCCAGAAAAACGTGAAGTAAATGCCTGTTTTCAGCAAAAACGTCATAAATAGGTCCTGTGGTATGAGGTGCTGCAAATGAAGAGCAGTTGCTGAGCCCCCAAAACGTCATGTGATTGCAAGGTGGTGGCAGTAATGGCCATTAGATCTTTGGAACTGGGTCATAATTAGCTTTTGGGGGGGTCTGCCGTGTCTCCGACAGATGGCTTGCACGTGACTCCGACAGATGGCTTACACATTAGCTTGCATCTGCTCCAACTTCGTTCTATCAAGAATGAAACTTTGGCAGCTAGGTGCCTCTTCCTTTCAACTTGCCATTAGAGTAAGGGGAGGGAGGTGTTGCTATTTAGAATGGGTTAGGTGGAGAAACAAAACCCCTCCGATTCCGATGAAGTCCGTGAGAGCCTGAACCCTTTCCAAGGACACTGCAGCAGGTGTGGAGAAGAAGCAGACGGTTCCCATAACCAAGAAGTTGGGGGTTTGGCTGGAGAAATGATGGTTTAATTCTATGAACTGGTATCTGGGAACCTCAGAGTTGGTTTTGCTTCGACATCACCATGCCGTGTACTCAATAAAGAGTTAAGATTTCCACAAACGGACTGAACCTGGAGTTTTATTTGGAGTCTTGAGCTGAATGTTAACAAGTCCGTTTGGAAATTGCTCTGGCCACCACCTGCCCCATCCCTATTTCTTTTGGGTGCTGATCATCTCAAATGAGGCTGGAGCCATCTTTAAAAACGAGACCCAGAGGGCCACGTGAATATTTTATGCCAAACATCCCAGGATGGATTGCCTGAAAAGCACAAAGTCCTCTGTTTCCTCCCAACTTTTATTTCCCAACTGTAGGAATCGTGTGAGACAGGAATAAAAGTGTTAACAAAATTTTATTCTAGTGAGATAAAAAATTTGGATAGGTAGTTTCTAGTCCTCATGGGGCCTCTACACCCTGTTACCAGTTTTGGTTACAGTTGGAGGTTTGCCTGGCAGATGCCCCCTTTCCCCCCCCCCGCTTGGGAAGAGGCCTTTGCCCCCAAGCACTGCTGTCCTCTCCATGCGCAGAGCAAGAATTTTGCAGGCCGCAATAAAACAGGTCATTGCTTTTCCCTGATGGCTTCCTGAGGACCCTGTAAGGTTGACCAGGTGGCCCCAAATAGTGAAGCCGGCCCAGGATGAGCCTCGCCCCAAAGGGATCCCAAGCGTTCAGCCGGAGGAGCTTGTGAACAGAGAGGTTCATGGTGGCGCAGGAAGCATCTCCTGGAAATGGCGGGCTTCGTCTTTGGTTGTTGCAGATGGGATGGTTCGAGTGCCGAAGCGGCTTAGGATCGCAGAAGAATACTGTCACGGTCCCGTCCTGTGAACGGAGACACAAGCAATTGTCATGGTTCCGACATGAAACTCTTCAAAGAACTTTGAGGCATCATTTACCTTAAAGAATCTTTATTCGAGCAGCATAGCATCGGCACATACATAAGCGAAGCCAAAATCTGGATTCCCCTCCCCTGAGCACATAGTATCAAAGCACAATTCCCTCCTCCAATTAACAGTCATAAATCACATTCTCCAATTAGTTTGAAATGGCGGCTTTCCCTCCAGTTCTTCAACCCGCCATTCCTTATCCTCTCTTATTTCAAAAACCTTGGTTTTCACACTAGTTACAATATTGTTATGTCTGTCTAAACTCCCATGCACATTCCCCCTCCCCCCAAGTATCATCTAATTCTAACAGTAAAACATAAGAAGGAAAATGGCTGCATCTCCATATGTTGTCAAAGCAAGAACATCCGATGTTAGCACCGTTGACAGCAATGGCTGAACAGGCTGCAAACGCTCCCCTCTTCTATAGCTTGTTTTCATGGCTCCTCCTGAGCCCTGATTTTGTCTGCAGGCTTGCCTGGCCAACGGAGAAGACCCTCCTGATGTCAGGAAGCTCTGTTCAATTAGGTAAACCAAGGCTGAAGCAGACGGGAACTGGCATTCTCTAAAACAGCGACTTTTTTGGCCTGCTCTCGGCCATCTTGCTTGTGTCTGTTGTGCCCAACTTTCCCTGCGCATGTTGAAATCAACCTCTAGCACAGTGGTTCTCAACCTTTTTAATGCCGCGACCACAACCGGTTGTAAGTCGAGGACTAAACCGGTCGTAAGTCGAGGACTAAACCGGTCGTAAGTCGAGGACTTTCCCTGCCTGGGAGCGCCATGCATGCGTGGTTCCGCCCCCTGCGCTGGCCGAGGCGTAGCTGGCAAGCAGCAGAGACGGAGCAGGCCAACCACCAGCTGGCCCAGCCCAAGGGAGGTAAGGCACCCGCCGGAAAAGGGGAAAAAAATGGCGGACAGCCTTGCTTGGCGACCCCCGTGAAATGGGCGATCGACCCCAAATGGGGTCCCGACCCATAGGTTGAGAACCGCTGGTCTAGCAGATGACCCAAGGTGCTCTTTCAGAAGGCAACTGGACTTTCTTGTTTAATAATAATAATAATAATAATAATAATAATAATAATAATAATAATAATAATAATAATAATAATAATAATAATAATAATAATAAAGTTGGAAGGGACCTTGGAGGTCATCTAGTCCAACCCCCTGCTCAGGCAGGAAACCCTATACCATTTCAGACAAATGGCTGTCCAGTTTCTTCTTAAAGACTTCCAGTGTTGGAGCATTCACCGCTTCTGGAGGCAGGTGGTTCCACTGGTTAATTGTTCTAACTGTCAGGAAGTTTCTCCTTAGTTCTAGGTTGCTTCTCTCCTTGGTCAGTTTCTATCCGTTGCTTCTTGTCCTGCCTTCAGGCGCCTCTGAAGACGTTTCGCCTCTCATCCAAGAAGCTTCTTCAGCTCCGACTGGATGGCGCGGAAGGGAAGGATTTATACTCCTTGCAGACATCTGGTCATTTGCCTTCTTTTTAGAGAGCCGTTGAGGCCACTTGGACCCTGAGGACACAGACAAATCTCCAAGTGGCCTCAACGACTCTCTGAAAGAAGGCAAATGACCAGCTGTCTGCAAGGAGTATAAATCTTTCCATTTCCCACCATTCAGAAGCTGAAGAAGCTTCTTGGAGGAGAAGCGAAATGTCTTCAGAGAAAAAAACAAAGTCCAGTTTGCCTCCTGAAAAAGCACCTTTGAGAAAACCATGACCTGGAGGACAGAGACATCTAACAGATGACAAATCTTAGTTCCAGAGAAACTGAGGCTGGCTGGCTGTGGGGCGGGGCTGGAGCCGTGCAAAGGGGATGCACTCACCTATCTGCGGACTGTGTGAGGTGTGCGGATATCAGAGCCGCAATGTTGTCGTGTCCGGCCTCCAAGGCGATGGCCACAGCGTCATTCCCGTCCTGTAAGAGAGCGTTAAGAAAGGAAGAGGTGGTGGCTGGACCACAAGGGGCAGTCCGGTCTTTCCAAAACAAACAAACAAAAAAAAAGGCAAAACAAAACAGGAGTCTGGTAACAATTTTTATGAAAATGCTGAACATTTTCTGATTCCGCTCCTTAAGTATTTGAATTTCGAACCTGGAATGGCCGAACCTTTAATGACTTTCAGGCATTTGAGGTGATTTTCATTTTCTTCTCGCCTTGTGAGATGCAGGGGTAGGCAACCTTGGTTCTTTTATGACTCGTGGACTTCAATACCCAGAATTCCTGAACCAGCCGTGCTCACTCAGGAATGCTGGGAATTGAAGTCCATGAGTCATAAAAGAGCCAAGGTTGCCTACCCCTGGGTTAGTGGATTAAATCATGGCGGAGAGATCTCTCCCGCAGGCAGGACAGAAACGTGATAGAAGGGGTTCCTGAAATAATTGTTGTGGAAGAACCTGAGTTACCACCATAACAGTGTCTGCCCGCGATGGCCGTAAAGCATGTCACCTGTGTGATAAGACTCAATTTTATGACCATTTTGGTGGCGGTTATAAAGCAGCCACCGTGCCCGTAAAGTGCACACCACAGCTTGTGAAAAAAAGAAATTCCAAATTGGTGTCTACAAAGAGCAAGAGTTTATTGGGTTTGTTAGGTTTGAGTGAGGATATTACCATACTGAAGACTAGCAGCTTGAGACAAGGAGGCAGCAACTCACGTGATCCGCGATGGAGGCGTCGCAGGCCGGCTGCGCCAGAAGCAGCTGCACGGTTTCTGCCCGGCCGTGCTCGCAGGCGCACATGAGCGCGGTGGAGCCCTCCTCGTCCTGCAGGTTGACGTCTGCCCCACACGCCAGCAGGGCCTCCACCATCTCCTGCCTTCCGTGGCTGACCGCCAGCATCAACGCCGTCTGGCCGGCCTGCAACCCCAGTGGAAACGCGGACAAGGGCTTTGCTTTCGGAGAGAGTGCTTCCGAGCACATCCAGGGTGCCCCCCGCTTCCCGTTGAACCCCCCGGGGTCCATCCCAGGAGAGGGGAGCCCTCTTGCCCCACCACCGAGATACCTACTTGGCTGGCCTTGGCATTAACGTTGCCCAGGTCGAACAGTCGTCGGACCACGGCCATGTCGTCCTGCCGCTCCATGGTGGCCAGCGCGGCCAACATGAGGGCCGTGTAGCCTGCTTTATTCTGGTGATTGATGTTGCAGACACCTTTTTTTGGGGGGGGAGAAATTGGGGGTGAGGACATGAGGGGTCAGAAGCCCCCACCACCAACCTTGAGCGGCTTTTCTGGTCTCCAATGGGCCACGGGTGCCACATTGGGGAAGGTGGAGATGCTCCCAAACTAACTGGGAAGTCGTTCAGGTGAGACTGGCGGAAAGGGGCTTTTTTTGAGGGTGGGGGGAGAATGAGGCTTCAATTCTGGTCTGTTTAGGGGCCAGTTGGACATGTGGGGCTGATCCTGTGCACTGGCCTTTAGAGAGGCTTTTAGCAGTCTTCCAGTATTTGAGGGGCTGCCCCAAAGAAGAAGGGGGGGGGGTCAATCTACTCTCCAAAGCAGTAGGAGAAGCAACGGTTGGAAACTCATCAAGGAGAGAAGCAACCTGGAACTAAGGAGAAACTTCCTGACAGTGAGGACAATTAGCCAGTGGAACAGCTTGCCACCAGAAGTTGTGGGTGCTCCATCAATGGAGGCTTTTAAGAGGAGACTAGACCAGTGGTTCTCAACCTTTTTAACGCCGTGACCCCCAACCGGTCGTAAGTCGAGGACTAAACCGGTCGTAAGTCGAGGACTAAACCGGTCGTAAGTCGAGGACTACCCAACCGGTCGTAAGTCGAGGACTTTCCCTGCCCGGGAGCGCCGCGCATGTGTGGTTCCGCCCCCTGCGCCGGCCGAGGCGTAGCTGGCAAGCGGCAGAGACGGAGCAGGCCGACCACCAGCTGGCCCAGCCCAAGGGAGGTAAGGCACCCGTCGGAAAAGGGGGAAAAAAATGGCGGACAAAAAAATGGTGGACAAAAAAATGGCGGAAAGCCTTGCTTGGCGACCCCCGTGAAATGGTCGATCGACCCCAAATGGGGTCCCGACCCACAGTTGAGAACCACTGGACTAGACAGTCACTTGTCTGGAATGGGTCTCCTACTTGAACGGGGGGTGGGTGGGTGGGTGGGACTAGAAGATCTCCAAGGTCCCTTCCAGTTCTGAGCTGCATCCTCTGGGCTGCCCCACACAGAGGGCAGATTTGAGGAAGGTGGTTGTGACACTTCTCCCCCCCCCCATACCAGCCCCTGTGCAGCCCCAGACTGAGACAGCCCCTCTCCTGACTGGACCCGTACTTGCAACCGTTCAAAGTCGCAACAGCGCTGCAAAAAGGGACTTGCAAGTAGTTCTCATGCTTAGGATGGTTGCGGCGTCGCAGGTTCGCATGACCGCCATTTCTGACCGTCCAGCCGGCTTCTGATGTGCAGAATCAGTGCAGAGGGCCTGATTTGCTTATTGACTGTGGTTTGCTTAATGACCCTGACCGTAAAAGGTCGTAAAAACTGGGTGTGACTTGCTGAACGACCGCCTCACTTAGCAATGGAAATGCCAGTCCCCACTGCGGTCATAAGCGTACCCGAGGGCTTGAATCGATTTAAGGTTTCCCCCCCCCCAAACCCCGGGGGTCACCTGTGTCGAGCAGGAGCCGGACAATGTCGAAGTTGGAGTGGGAGACGCTGTAATGGAGCGCCATGTTCCCGTTGCCGTCGGAGAGGTTGATGATGTGGGCCAGCAGTGCCGGGGAGAGCTCGGCAAAGGCCTGCAGGTATTTGGCCACCTTGCTGGCCCGGGAGGTCTTCTGGCTGGACACCCGGAACCATTCCCGCAGGACCAGGCTGCTGCTGGACAGCTGGGGGACCAAGCGGGGCAGAGGTCAAGGCACACACCCCTCGCCTCTATCCCATCTCACGGGAGGTTTCAGCTTCTGGGGCTCCCTTTGCACCCCCAGACGGGGAGGGAACCTCGTGGGTCAGAAGACTCCTGCCAGCCCGTGTGGGCCAGTTTGGGGGCAAATCATCCCCGGGGTGGCCAGCACGAACTGTCCCCCCAAAAGTGGGAAAGCAGATTGAATTAATTTGGGATGTGGTGTGCGGCTTCTGCCAGACACGGAGTTAAGTCCCACTCTTTGCCAGCTCTTCCGTCTCCCCCGACGCCGAGGTCCGGCTCCTGTGGCTACTCACCAGCTCTTTGGTCTTTGGGGCCCCTCGGCCCTGGCCCAGATGGGTCCGCACCACTAGGCAGGCCTCTCGCATCCACGGGCTCAGCTCAAACCTGCCAGAGAAGCCAAGGGGGGTCAGCCAGCCGAGCGGCTCTTTGGGGGACACGACACACCCAGCACGGTGCCAAGAAAACTGACCGGCACCTTAAGAGGGACTTGCAAAACCAGGACTGTCCATTTCCAGCTTAATGGTTCTGATTTGGACCCCTCTGTGCCGGTTCTCCAACCCCCCCCCGAACGTAACCTGTGCCTCTTGCTTTTGGGGGTGGGGGGTGGAAACAGAGGGGCCCTCCCCCGCTTCTCTGATCTCCCCAAAGCCAGGGCCCTCCTCTTCTGCTTTTGAGGGGTGCTAAAAGTTAAAGTTAAATGTTAAAGTTTCTCCTGATTTTAGCTGAAGTTATTTTAGATTTTAAAGTTTCTCCAGATTTTAGTTCAGGTCATTTTAGATTTTAACATTTTTTTTCCAGATTTCAGTTCAGAGTATTTTAGATTCTAAACATTTTTTCCAGATTTCAGTTCAGGTCAGTTTAGATTTTATCATTTTTTCCAGATTTCCGTTCAGATCATTTTAGATTTTAAACATTTTTTTTCCAGATTTCACTTCAGGTCATTTTAGATTTTAAACACTTTTTCAAGATTTCAGTTCAGGTCATTTTAGATTTTAAACATTTTTTCCAGATTTCAGTTCAGAGTATTTTAGATTCTAAACATTTTTTCCAGATTTCAGTTCAGGTCATTTTAGATTTTAAACATTTTTTCCAGATTTCAGTTCAGGTCATTTTAGATTTTATCATTTTTTCCAGATTTCAGTTCAGGTCATTTTAGATTTTAAACATTTTTTTTCCAGATTTCACTTCAGGTCATTTTAGATTTTAAACACTTTTTCAAGATTTCAGTTCAGGTCATTTTAGATTTTAAACATTTTTTTTCCAGACTTCAGTTCAGGTCATTTTAGATTTTAAACATTTTTTTTCCAGATTTCAGTTCAGGTCATTTTAGATTTAAACATTTTTTCCAGATTTTAGTTCAGGTCATTTTAGATTTTAACATTTTTTTTCCAGATTTCAGTTCAGAGTATTTTAGATTTTAAACATTTTTTTCCAGATTTCAGTTCAGGTCATTTTAGACTTTAAACATTTTTTTCCCAGATTTCAGTTCAGGTCATTTTAAACATTTTTCCCAGATTTTAGTTCAGGTCATTTTAAATTTTAACATTTTTTTCCAAATTTTAGTTTAGATTATTTTAGATTTTTAACATTTTTTCCCCAGATTTTAGTTCAGGTGACTGACGATCCAGAACAGGACGTCTTTTTCCGACAGGCCTTCAGACTCTCAGTGGGCTGGAAATGGCTTTTGTATCATCCAATCCAAAATTTCTAAATTTTGGCTACTTTAAGACGGGTGGACTTCAACTCCCAGAATTCCCTAGTCAGCTGGTTGTGGGGAGGATGTGTGTTCCTTGGGCTTCTCCTATGATTCCTGCCTCAGTAGCATCCTCTGCAATTGGATGTGCCCATTTTACAGACTGGAGGAACCGAGACTGGAAGAAGGGCAGGTCTATAATTTGGGAAAGGGAGAGGACCGTAGCCGCCCCTTCCTCTTCAAAGCCTGGGGGGTGCAATGGGGAGGTGGTAGGAGAATCCAGACCCGTGGTGGCGAACCTATGGCATGCGTGCCACAGGTGGCACACAGAGCCCTCTCTGTGGGCACGCGCACCATCGCCCCAGTCTTAGGCCTTCAGCTGGGTTTTATAAAACCTTTTTGCTTTAGGCCTAAAACAGTGGTGGCGAACCTATGGCATGCGTGCCACAGGTGGCACACAGAGCCCTCTCTGTGGGCACGCGCGCCGTCGCCCCAGTCCTAGGCCTTCAGATGGGTTTTTATAAAACCTTTTCGCTTTAGGCCTCCGCCGCCGTGTGCAAAAAAAAAAAAAAGGTTCAACCAATCAGTCAATTTCAACTTCTCGCGGGAAAAAATAAGATCTTGCAAAGTTGGAATTGATTGATTGAACTTTTTAGTCCCACCCAGTCTGCTGTTACCACTGCAGCCACGCACACCCGGCACTGGACAATGCATGAGTGGGTTTTGGATTGCACTTTGGGCACTCGGTCTCTAAAAGGTTCGCCATCACTGGCCTAAAAGGTTCAATCAATCAGTCAATTTCAACTTCTCGCGGGAATAAAGAGATCTTGCAAAGTTGGAATTAATTGATTGTACTTTTTAGTCCCACCCAGTCTGCCGTTACCACCACAGCCACGCCCACCCAGTGGGCCACGCCCCCAATGGGCCACACCCACCCAATGGGCCACGTCCACCCGGCACCCGACGATATATAATTGGGTTTTGGGTTGCAGTTTGGGCACTCGGTCTCTTAAAGGTTCGCCGTCACTGATCCAGACCATTCCCGGCAAAGAAGGTTCGGAAAGGGGTCTGGGGTCCTTCACCCTGGGGAATGCTCTTACCTCTCTTTGACCTTGGGCGTGGCTCCTCCCTGTCCGGCAGCCTCTTCAGGATCGGAGCCCAGCCGTGGGTGGCCGGGCGCGGCCGCCTCTGTGACCGGGCTCCCCTCCTCTTCCTCGCTGCTGTCACTGACATCCGGGCTGGCAACAACATCGCACCCCAATTCACTGGGGTTGCCGAGGGTCTCGCAGAAGGAGCCGTGGAGAGATCCCTCTACTGGGGATCCATCCTCCTCCTCCTCTTCCTCCTCCTCCTCTTCCTCCTCCTCCTCCTCGCTAGAGGTGCTCTCATACCTGCCATGAGAGAGGGCGTCAGAGGAGGGCCAGGACCCTTGGCTACCCACCATGGCCTCCCATGTGATCCATCTTGTCTTCCCCCCCCCCATAATCCCATCAAGAACCCCACAAGCAGGGCAAAGAGGCCAAAGCAAGATGCTAATGCTCGCACAAAGGTGGCTGCTCCTGAACAAGGAGGCTCCATTTAGTTCCCCGGGACCTGCTGTGGCCGGAGGTCTCTTCCTAAGCCTGGTTCTATTCAGTCCCACCCCTCAAGTGCCCCCCCACTCCCCTAGGAAGGGACCAGCTGTGTATTCCAGATCAGGGTTCTGGCGTTTGGGGGTAGACTGCCTCTGTCGTGGAGGCTCGATCCCAAGGAGGTAGGGAGGGTCCAGTGGATGAATTGGAGTTTCCAAGGATTTGGGAGCAAAATTGAGCAGACAGACCATCAGCCACACCCTCTCCCCCTCCCCCGATGGTGCATGGGGGGGGCGCTGCAGTGGGCCCACCCCTCGGCTTTTTCTCCCACTCCAGGAGAGGAACGGTTCGTACTCGCCATTCAGGAGGCCCACAAACTGGAGGGTCTTCTTCCCGCTGCCCCTCGGCTCTGCCTTGGCCGGGCTGTCCAGCCGCTTCATTATTGACTTCAGGGCACCTGCAGAGGAAAGGGAGGGGCAGAGGAGGAGGGGAGGAGAGGACCCTCATGATGGCGATGATGGTTATTTTGTTATTCCGAGATGCATACCCTGCCTTTACACATAGTCCTCGAATTACGACTGCCGTTGGGGCTGGGGTTGCCATCGTTAAGCAGTCGTAAAGCAGGTGGCTGCACTGCTAATGACACCAATCCTGAAAGTTCTCGGTTGTTGTCATAAACCAAGACGCAGGAGGGTCACTAAGTGGGCAGCCGAGGAAGTCCCAGGTTGGGGTGCCTGAGGACAGTGGGGGGGCCCATCTGAATCGGGGGAGGGGGGCCTTGGGGGGTCCTGTCGGATCAGAAAGGCTGGGGAGTGAGGACGTGGGATGCATGCGTGTGACTGCAGGGAGGCAGAGATAGGGTGGAAGGTGTGTGTGTGTATGTGTGTGCAAATACAGGGAGGTGTGGGGTGTGCAATCAAGGGGGGGAGGGAAGGAGGGCACATACAGTACAAGCAAAGAAAGACTGGGGATGGGTTTACTCCAGCAACTTGGGGTGACTTTTCCTGGGGGGAAACCAGCGGAGAAGGGTGCAAAAGGCCGTCCTGTGACCGCAGGGGTGCTGCAATTGGTCACAAGTGTGAGCCGGTTTCCGGGCACCCCAAATGACCGGCCTGTAGGTCATTGTGTTCAGTAATGTTGCTACTTCATCATAGCTCGTATTTCACAGACGGTAACTTCCGACGGCACACAATGCTCCCGCCTCCTCTTTTCCCCACAACAACCCTGAGAGGTAGGCTAGGCTGAGAGAGAGAGAGTGACTGGGCCAAAGTCACCCCATCTGTGGCTTTCATGCCTAAGGCGGGACTAGAACTCGCCGCCTCCTGGATTCTAGGCCAGCACCTGAACTACTATCGCAAACATGCCCAGGAAACCGAGGGCAGACAGCTGTGGTGTGTGGGCCCCTCTCCCCCAGGGAAGACACCATTCCAACTGTGCCCCCCATCCCACAAGTTTCTTCTGGAGGCGGTAAAGACCGGGGTGGGGAAGGGTGGGATTCTTGGAGACGAGAGACTCCCAGGGACCCACCTTTTTCCCAAAGCTGGGAGAGACCCTTGCAGTGCTTCAGCCATCCTGGAAGTCTCTTTTCAAGGAGGAAAGGGGGAGGGGGCGCTCGTCCTCCCCCATCATCAAACACCCACACCCAGTGACTGCCTTTGCACAATGCACCGATTGGCCCCCTTTTAACTAGGTTCAAAATGGTGCCGTGGAACTCTTTGCGCTCCCAGGCCCCATCGGCCCCTTTCAGCTCTGGGGTGTTGTGCAATTGGGGCCACATGGGGCCCACCCAAAGTGGTCCTTCCAAGGACAACGGGGATCCCTGCAAGGTTGGCTTCAGCTCGTCCTGCAGCTCCCACCGAGACTCCAGGCTTCAGGGGTTGGGGGTGAGCGAATAGGGCCAGACTGAGAACTGCCCCCCCAACGCCTGGTCCCAGAAGCCCCACCACACACACACACACACACAAATGTTCTTGTCCTCCCCCCTCCCTGTATGCTCTCCTGGAGCAAGCTGCGTGATGCCAAATTGCTGAATGGCACCTGGTGTCCTAAAGCACCGAGTGTCCAAGGCAGACCAGGCGCTGTTTGTATAATGCCAGAAGCTCTAGCCCACAGGGAAGAGAGGCCTACAGTGAGTAATCTGGCCCTTCTCCTGAGCCTGATATGTGTGTGTGTGTGTGTGTGTGGTTTGGGGGTCTCTGTGGAGAGGAAAGCTTCTTCTCTACATTTTCAGAGTCTGCAAGACAGATTTGCAGCTACGTCGTGAACGTGCATCTTAAGAGACCCTCAACTGACGAAGGACACGGGTGGTGTCTCAGCTTGGCAGCCACCCTGAAGAAGCCCAGCCTTGCGTACTGCACGTGACGGTGGCACTCACCAGCCCCCGAGACCCCCTCTGCCCCATTTGGCTCCTGGCTGCCCTGGCTGCCCATCCCCAGGGGCAAAGGTGGGCCAGCATCCGGTTCTCCCTCTGTGGTCTGCAGTGCCAGCTGGACCAGCGTCCCTTCCTTGTTGCCTGTGGGAGGCCTGGCGTCTTCTGATCTAGAGCCCTCCCCAGCCTTGCCATAACCCGGCGTTGCTGCTGTGTACTCGAGGTGGCCTTTTTGGCCCGTGTGCTCCGTCCCCAGTGAGGTCAGTGACGTTGTCTGTTGTGAGTCCTGGGTGGGCTTTGCTTCTGCACTTGATTCTCCTTGCAAGTTGCAACTGACTCCTACGTGCGACACTTGCAGAAAGCTTTGGACGCTGACCTCCACCGTTTCGACGTGGCTGCCCACAGCCTGGCACCGGGTGGGTGGCATGGCCTCCACGCCAACGTCGGCCGTCTCTGGAGAGACCGAGGTCGCTTGGCTGACCAGGTTGCCTGGCCTGCGGGAGCAGACCTCCACCCGCAGCTCTTCCAGTTCCTCGGTGGCCTCCTTCAGGTGTCCCTCCAGCATGGCAATCACGGCCTGCTGGTGCTGGACCCTGTGCTGCACCAGCTGCATCTCCTCCTCTGCGGCCGACGACACCCCAAGGAAGGACTCCATCACCCACACCTCTGCGTCGCGGGTCTCTGTCTCGCACCCAACGGCCACCTCCTGGCACGGTCTTTGACTCTGGTAGTAGCAAACGAGTTCACTCATGTCCACCTCCTCCCCGATTCCGATGGACCTCTGGCTGGGCTGCTCTGCTCTTGACGGCCGGGCCCCTCCTCTGCTCTTCCCAGCCCTCTCTGGACCGGTCAGTCGCTCGGTCAGTTTTTTCAGCTCTGCGATCTTACTTGATCTTCCTTTGGTCGCCTCGCTCTCAGTTTGCACCTCCTGGATACCCTGGGGCCCTCCTGTGTCCAGACAGGCAGCCCCATCTTTGAGGGCTTGTCTTGGGGAGAAGCAGAAGACCCCCGGCTGGCCAGCTTCAACCTCCACCTTCTCCCCCAAGCCGGCCACCAGCTGCTCCTTCTCCTGCTTCAGCTGGCAGATCTGCTCCTCCAGGAGAGGGATCACCTTCACCTGCTCCTCCAGCTCCTTCAGCTGTTTGAGGGCCGCGGCCATCTGCTCCCGGACGTGATGGAGGTGTGCGGGGCTCACTGCCGGAACCGGGGTGGTCCTTCCCGAATTAGGGGGGCTTGTCTTCACGGGCTCAGCCTGGCTGTCCCCGGATAGAGAGGAAGCAGAATTGGGGGGACACGTGCTCTCTCTGGAAGGGCCGGCGGTCCTCTTGAACGGTGCGCCTCCCCCACCAGTCAGCAAACTCAGCTGTGCCTCCTCCAGCCTCCTGCTGGTCTCCAGCAAGGTCGTTTCCACCCGGCTGCCCCCTCTCCCCACTGAATCGGGAGAAGCTGGGGGGAGACGCTGGGCTGTGGGAGCAGGAGACGTCGGAAAGGAGCCATTTTTGCCTGCGAGGTCCTTGGTGTCGTAGGAAGCCGTTTGGGGCCGTGGGGAGAAGGCGGGTCTCCCGTCCTCACTGGTCGTGGACGAGAGAGACTCGGTGGAGGCCCAGCCCCCCATCTGGCTGCGGGGGGAGCCCTGGGCTGGCTTGGACCCCTTAGCTTTGCGATGCAGGGGCAACCTCCGGAGGGTCTGGCCTCTCTCGATGTCGTCCACGTACTTGAGGAAGTCTAGATCCAGCAGGAAGCCGTAGGGGGTTTCCACCGAGTAAGGCATCGTCTCCCTGCCCTGGTCCTGATCCGGGTACAAGACAGGGCGAGCCAGGCCTGGAAACCAAGCGGGGACAACATGAATGCTTGGGGGTAACCATGTATCGTGTCTTGGGGGGGGAAGACCCCTTATAATAATAATAAAGATGGAAGGGACCTTGGAGGTCATCTGGTCCAACCCCTTGCTCAGGCAGGAAACCCTATACCATTTCGGACAAATGGCTGTCCAGTCTCTTCTTAAAAACTTTCAGTGTTGGCGCATTCACTGCTTCTGGAGGCAGGTAGTTCCACTGGTTAATTGTTCTCACTGTCAGGAAATTTCTCCTTAGTTCTAGGTTGCTTCTCTCCTTGATTAGTTTCCATCTGTGGCTTCTCGTCCTGCCTTCAGGCGCTTTGGAGAATAGCTTGACTCCCTCTTCTTTGGGGCAGCCCCTGAGATACTGGAAATGACCTTCACCTCCTTCAAAAAGAGACAGCCATTTGTCTGAAATGGTATAGGGTCTCCTGCCTGAGCAGGGGGTTGGACTAGAAGACCTCCAAGGTCCCTTCCATTCTGTTATAGAAGAAAGGAAGGAAGGAAGGAAGGAGGGAGGGAGGGAGGGAGGGAGGGGGGAAGGAAGGAAGGAAGGAAGGAGGGAGGGAGGGAGG